TATATAATGACACGGTATATAATGAGACGGTATATAATTAGACGGTATATAATGAGACGGTATATAATGCGACGGTATATAATGAGAAGGTATATAATGACACGGTATATAATGAGACGGTATATAATTAGACGGTATATAATGAGACGGTATATAATGACACGGTATATAATGAGACGGTATATAATTAGACTGTATATAATGAGACGGTATATAATGACACGGTATATAATGCGACGGAATATAATGAGACGGTATATAATGCGACGGTATATAATCATTATATCAGTATAAATGTGTGTTTTCCCTCGACTTTATACTCGTGTTCAGGGAGCCAGTCCTCAGCGCGGTAGATTCGGGACTTACGGTGACGAGTGAGTGAGTTGAGTGAGGTGAGTGAGGTGAGTGAGTGAGTGAGGTGAGTGAAGTGAGTGAGTGAGTGATATATATTTTACAAATTATTCTTGTAAAATTTTATAATAACAGCAATAATCCTCCTGTAACGTTATAAAGATACACACACACACACACACACACACACACACACACACACACACACACACACTATACATCTACTCTTCCTCATAACACCATCCGTCCGTCTGTCTGTCTCTACCCGTCGTAAGGTTCCGCCATAAATTTAACCCTTGGAGGAGAGAGGTATTTTCAGGTCATCAGTATTTACGTTTTATGGTGATTTCATGGAATCTCTATCGTCCAACACGGCTCATAATAACCCATAAACAAGGCCTGATAACTGCTAATTCATCCATTGAACTTTTATTCACCGCCTCAGGGTGTAAAAGTATATGGAAAATATAGTGGTGTTAAGAAAAGTATTTGTGTATTTTGTTAATGTTACTTTAATTATATGATTATTTGTTATTGTATTTCAGTCTGATTATAGAGTTGTATAATTTGTTTATTTGATTTTTGTATGTATCTGTGTGTGTGTGTGTGTGTGTGTGTGTGTGTGTGTGTGTGTGTGTATGTGTATGTAAATGTTTGCATAGCCGAGTGTATGTATGTATGTATGTATGTCCCCAGCACGGATCTCATAAACTACAGGACGACACACCTCATGTACACCATATACCGAGACGTACACACACACACCGCCCTTATAGTTATCGTCGACACATGATATCCTCAATAGATTTACGAGCACTTAGCAATTCTCTTATGTTTGTAACTGTTATTTTATCTTTCTTCGTTATTCCTTCGTTACTCCTTCGTTATTCCTTCGTTATTCCTTCGTTATTGCTTCGTTATTCCTTCGTTATTGCTTCGTTATTCCTTCGTTATTCCTTCGTTATTGCTTCTGAGACAACACAACACTAAAACAGAGCTAAATAAGGAAATAGGAAAAATATATGTATTTTATCCGGTTTGTATAGTAGTGGTAATAATGCAGGTGTTTGGAGGTTTCAGGAAGGGTTGTACAGGTGTTGTGTTGCAGGTGTGTGTGTGTATGTGTGTGTGTGTGTGTGTGTGTGTGTGTGTGTATGTGTGTCCCGCACCTGATCTAAAGCACGTTGTTATAATGGTGTAAGCTTGTTATTATTGTTATTGATTATGTTTGTGTTATTATTGTTGTTGTTATTATTGTTGTTATTGTTGTTGTTATTAGTGTTATTATTATTATTATTATTATCGTTATCATTTTTTATTATTATTGTTATTATTATTCATTGTATTATTTTACTCCTAATATTATAGATGTACTTCAGGTATTCCAGTGATCTATAACAAAGATATATAACTGAAAATAATTACATAATAAATACTAGAAAAATAAAACACAAAAGACGTCAATTAAATTATACTACGGAAAAGGTGATTTTTTTACTCCTGTGTAATGAGATGAAACACTCCTCCTGTTGACGCTAAAACCCATCCAAAAGCGGTAACACAAAATACTATCATTATTTAATTAGAAAATCCCAAATCCAAAATAAAGTGAAATTATGGATGTGAATTTTTTTTTTTTACGTAAGCTAATTTAGAATTATTTAACAGGTGGTTTTATCAAGGTAATGTTAATGGTTAAAAGTAATTAAGAAATATATTCACCTGTTAGAAGAATTATGACTGATAACTTAAATAACTCATTTGTATTTATAAATTACATAAGAATTATTATCTTATTTCATTTAAAGAAACATCACTGATCATCAAGTAACTTAAACCAAAATTATTAATATTTTTTAGAAGGGAAAATATAATTAACAGATCAATTAACCCCATCACAACAGGTACAGGTAAGCTACTTGTTATATTTTATTTCACTAACGACAGATGATTTTATTCAGCTCAGAGGCGACACCATATACACAAGGGGTTGATATAAAAATGAGGGATTTATTTTACTTTATATATTCTCTAAAAAAAGAAAATCCCGCCATCCAAAAACCTGAATTTAATTATAGAACATTTACCATATTTCAACCTCAGCCTACAACCCTTAAGGACATCTACCTACAACCTTCAACAACCTCAACCTACAACCCCCCCAAAACTTCTACCTACAACCTTCAACAACCTCCATTATTAGTGAGGCGAACTACAACACCCACAACCCCACAACACCCACCCACAACACCCACAACACCCACAACCCACACCCACTACACCCACCCACAACACCCCACGCGAAACTAGCTATTAATGTATATATTTTCCATCAGAGCAGCGAATGAGATGAACACACTCCTCCTCTTCCTCCCCCTCTTCCTCCTCCTCCTCTTCCTCCCCATCATAATCCTTCCTGATGAGCCAACCACATTTTTTCCCCTGGCCCTAATGAGCATCAACTCACCTAATAACCTGTGAAAAATATACCAATGCATTTTGTTCTCGGGTTATTTATTTTTTTTTATTTAACTTCAGGACTTAATACGTTTTGGTGACACCCGGAGATGGGGAGGTGGAAGTGTGATTGCCATGAATCATTATTGACAATTGGTTTTTTTTTTTTTGGATGTGATTTTGGGATTTTGTTGATGTGATTTAGAGATTTTGGGGATTGATTTAGGTTTTTTGTAGGTGAATTTGGGATTTTTTATGTGATTTGGGGATTTGGGGATGTGATTTAGGGATTTTTTTTTGTTATTTGGGATTTTTTTTATGTGATTTCAGGATTTTTTTTATTTGGGATTTTTTTATGTGATTTCAGGATTTTTTATGGGATTTCAGGATTTTTATGGGATTTGGAGATTTTCAATATAATTTTTGGATTTTTATGTAATTTTGAATTTTTTTATGTAGTTTAGGGATTTTTTGGGGAATTTTTAGTATTTTTTTGGTCTTGTTTAATATCCTAAAAAATACTCGATTTGAATTAGTTTATTTTTCCTATATAACTTTAACTAATTTCAATCAGTGGAATATCGATAAAAATACTATCAACCAATATTTATTTCTAATGAAGGAATTACAAACCTAAGCCCACAATAAATACTCTTATTTATTTTCTTGAGAATAAACTGTTTATTAAGACGCATCTACCTTAAGTTTTATCAAAGTCTGTATAAACTGTATCCGGTTATGTATTATGTATTCAGGGACTGTATAAATGTGTAAATACAAAATAAATAAAATAAAATACAGTACTTATACAATGTTGATGTTTCTTAAGTTTGGTGTATTTGTTGTAGAGGATATTTGGGAGTGTTGATGTTGTGATTTATTCTACAGTATCACACTACATAACACCATTGTATTCTTCCTCCACGTGTTATAATTCTACAGTATTTGCCCTGTATTATTATGGTATTTATATTACGTAGAGTATTACAAAAATATCTAACATATTACTTGTTTATATAAATAGTTAACACCTGGCTTTAAAAATCACATGTGTTAATTTATATTTAACACCTGGTTTTAAAAATCACATGTGTTAATTTATATTTAACACCTGGTTTTAAAATTCACAGGTGTTAATGTATAGTTAACACCTGGCTTTAAAAATCACAGGTGTTAATGTATAGTTAACACCTGGCTTTAAAAATCACATGTGTTAATTTATATAGTTAACATGTAACCTAAAATTTACATTAGTTTACATAGTTATTAAGGTATTAGTTTAAAATGATTCATTGTATTTTATATTCCTTAGTGAAATACATCGTAATATTATTTTCTTGATGGAGGCAGCAGATGCAGCCTCTAACATTACGACGAACACAATAAAATTTCGGCTCTTTTGCCCCCCTACCCCGTGCCCTCCCTCCCTCGCCACAACCAATTGCCAATACCATCATTACCAGCTGATTATCGGCCTGTAAGTACCGACCAATCAGACCGATCATTTCACTTTGTAAACAAACACTAATTGCACGGGGAATGAATCCACCCAGCTCTGATTTTAGCGAGGAATTAAGTGTAAACACCATATTTATACCTGTCAGGATAAATATTGGAGGTGAAGGCATCATTACCAGGCGACATTCTCCTAAATTACTCCCAGACATCCCCGGAGGTCGTGTCGGTGAGGACTGTGTGTGTGTATTGGTGGCCGCCGCTGTGTGTTGGGTCAGGCACTGGCTGGCTGAGGGAGGGGAGTCAGCCTGGTGGTTCTTCAAACACTCTATTCCCCCCCTTCCTTTTTTTCTTTCCCTAGGGGTGAAGACAAGTTGTAACATTTTGACACAGCCAATCTAGTGCCTATTCTAGCCAGGACCTCTCCAGACAGATCCCTCCACCGACCTTAACTACCACATTATTGATGACAACTTGACACAAAGCCCAGAAAAACTCTATAGGAACCCCATTAAGTCGATGAAATGGACACTCTAATCGAAACCCTGTTTGTCATTCAGTCGCTGTACCTCTCCTGGCCAATCAGCACATTCGGGCCTGGCCGGGCGCGTGACAGGAGCCAATCGGCGCTCAGAGAGTGCTGGGTGGGCGGGCCGTGGGCGTGGCCTGTGATAATCCCGGAGCGGAACAATGGAGAGGTGAAGACCGTAGGTGCGGCTGCCAGCTCTTCAGTATTTGTTGACAAACCGCCAACGCTGCAGCCGTGAGTGACGCTGGCGGCCAGCACGAGGACTCGCCTGCTACAGTGACTTTGGTGGATATTGTGCATGGCAGTGGAGTGGAGCTAGAGAGGACAGTGTGAGGAGCGGCGCGCAGCTTTTGAGGTAGAATGCTGCTGATGGAGAAGATGTTGCCTCACCTCGGCTACGTGCAACCCACATTCCACGTGCTGAGCCAGCTAGCACGCCCCGTGCCGCTGCCCCTGGGCCAGCAGCTTCCCCCGCTGCCCCCACTCTCACCCTTCTCCAACCACAACGGCCTCAAGCTGGGCGGCATGCCACCCAACACCCACGAGGGCGGCCCACACCCTCTTTCCTTCTCCGTGCTGGGACGCGGCAGCGGCGGCGGTTTCCTCGATCGCACGGGGGGAGACCCGAGCGGCGGCCTGCCGCCCGGCCTGCCTTCACCCTACGACCGCGACGACGAGAAAGGTGAGACGCACCACCTGTGTTACCTTGTACAGTACCTTACCTGCCCACAGTAAACAGCGTTACTGCAGGCAAAAGGCGGGTGAACGGTGAATGTGTCGTGCAGGTGTGAAGGAGGACGCCTGGCGCTGTTGAGTGCGCGTGCTGGCGTTGTTTTTGTGGTAGGATCATTATACAGTTCGTGTGACAACTAGGGCCGTGTGTTTGTGTTTGTGTGTGTGTGAGTGTGTATGTGAGAGTGTCAGATAAGGCCAGGGGTGTACACTGCCGCCCGTGGTGGTACTCATGGTAAACTGACCCTGGGTACAACAACCCCTTGAACCAGCTGTCAGTGGTCTCCTGACAGCTGGTTCAGGCTACCACATCCACCATAACCCTGACGGAGGCGCTGCAGTAGGGCGGCCTTGCTATAGACAGGCATATCAGTACTGGACACACCCCTGAGGCACACCTCTGTTGAGGCGACGAATAACACTCTCAGAGAGGCTCACAGTGCCCCCATCGTTCGGCCTACAGTATTACCGCTGATCTTCTTCATAATATTCCCCTAACGCTGCCTGCAATATTCCCATTACTTGAACCACAATACTCTTACAAGTGGTCCTATAATATTCACTATGATCTTCCAATAATATTCCCCCTGTTTACTGTTGGCTAGTCCGCGATATTCTCACTGACCTGACCAGAATATTTCCTTTATTTACACGGCAATATTCCAGATGAGTGATCCACAATATCCAGTGTTATTTAGTAGTTAATATCCTTTTTATGTACCCAGAATACTCCCCAAACTACTTATTAGATATTCTCACTAACTATACCATAATATTTCCATACAGTTATCTTTTGATATTTTTTGTTAGATAACTTTTGATATTAATTTTGACCGTCCAAATAATATTCACATCTATTGCCAAAGTAATACTAGTGTTCCTTAACCGGTAAAACACCCGTTCCAATACCGGTAATACTCTAGTTCCTTTACCGGTAATACTCTCGTTCCTTAACCGGTAATAGTTTTGTTATAGCGTCATCAGTAAATATTTCAAATGAGCAATGTTCCTTTCCGCTTCATAGGTAAATATTCCTATTAATTACCTTAGAATACATCATAAAGACGACCGATAAGTAATACTGATTCATAATATTCCTCTCAGTAGCCACAGGAATACTTATCTAACACCACTTATAATATTTACCTTAACCCTTGAGTAATATTCTCATCGGGCAGAAGATAATATTTCCCTTGCGTCTGTAGCTGTATTTCTCTTGGCTAAATATTTCTCTATTACCGTAAAATATTCCTCGTGGTTTAAGAAAATCATCTTTCACGTGTATAATACTTATCATTTTATTAATATAACTAATATGCCGGTAAAACTATATTATCTTGCTACTTTTGGGAATATTTCTCAGCTTCTGTCGGTAATCTTACTCAAAATATTACTGAGAACATCGTCATTTGTATTATTTGGCGATTGGTGGTAATATTTCTAATGGTTCGCCTATTATATAACAGCTCGCTAATTAAACACTTCTGACTGTGGCGCTAATAATATGTCTAAGAGGATGTTAAGAATAGAGTGCAGGTGGACCGCCAATTATATTAATTTAGCTGGCCCGCCAATTATATTTCTCACGTGGGTCGCTAAATGTATTTCTTAAGTGGATCGCCAAATATATTTCTCACTTGTGTCGCTAAATGTATTTCTTAAGTGGATCGCCAAATATATTTCTCACTTGTGTCGCTAACAATATTTCTTATGTGGACCGCCAATTATGTTACTGTGGACCGCCAATATTATTTCTGTGAATAGACAATAATACTGTACATCTGTGGACCGCTAATTATATTTACGTGCTCTGTGAACCGCCAATAATATTTTTGCGGACCGCCAGTATTATTTCTATGAGACACCAGAGATATTTCACCTATGGACCGCCAGTGGCTTTTTTGTGGACCGCCTGTGATATATTTGTGTTCCGCCAATTTATTTGTTCCACTAGTTGGTCTAATATTAATGTGAACCGCCAATATTATTTCTATGAACCGCCAATACTCAATAATATTTCCGTGGACAGCCAAAAATATTTCTATGGACCGCCAATAATATTTCTGTGAACCGCCAATAATATTTCTGTGGACCGCCAATAATATTTCTGTGGACCGCCAATAATATTTCTGTGGACCGCCAATAATATCTCTGGACCGTCAATATTATCTCTACGGATCGTCAATAATTAGTTTTTATTAATATGCCTATAAATATCAATTCATTCATTCAGTAATAATATTTGAGGTCAACAACCAATATCAGCATTAATTCTGCTTTAAATTAGTATTATATTATTTATACCGAGTAATTATATACTTTACCTCAAACGAGTATTTACCTGAAGGTTAGTTTATGTAATTCTTAATGAACCACTGGTAATATTTTCTAGATAAGCCGCCGGGACTATTCTAGATAGGTTAATAATATAAATACTTCTAACTTCATCGCCAAAATATTCCCGGTGGACCGCCAAAAATATCCCCTTTAGGTTAGGTTAGGTTAGCACTAATATTAAAAATAAGTCCGCTGATAATACCTCATATAGGCTGCCAATAATGTAATATCGTAGGTAGGAGGCGTATAACATTCCCAGGTCTACCGGATGCAATATTTCAGGTGAACTTGCTAATTAGTATATCTCAGGTGGGCCGCTGGTAATATTTCAGGTAGGCGGATAATACTATTCCCAGGTAGAACGGAGGTAATATCCTACAGGAGCCGCTCCGAATATTCCCTATGGTCCATTGGTCCAGCGGTAATATTACTTGGTCCAGCGGTAATATTACTTGGACCAGCGGTAATATTACTTGGTCCAGCGGTAATATTACTTGGTCCAGCGGTAATATTACTTGGACCAGCGGTTATATTACTTGTTCCAGCGGTAATATAACTTGGTCCAGCGGTAATATTACTTGGTCCAGCGGTAATACTACTTGGACCAGCGGTTATATTACTTGTTCCAGCGGTAATATTACTTGGTCCAGCGGTAATATTACTTGGTCCAGCGGTAATATTACTTGGTCCAGCGGTAATACTACTTGGACCAGCGGTTATATTACTTGTTCCAGCGGTAATATTACTTGGTCCAGCGGTAATATTACTTGGTCCAGCGGTAATACTACTTGGTCCAGCGGTAATATTACTTGGTCCAGCGGTAATACTACTTGTTCCAGCGGTAATATTACTTTGTTTCAGCGGTAATATTACTTGGTCCAGCGGTAATACTATTTGTCCAACGGTAATATTATTACTTGGTCCAGCGGTAATACTACTTGGTCCAGCGGTAATACTACTTGGTCCAGCGGTAATATTACTTGGACCAGCGGTAATATTATTTTGGTCCAGCGGTAATATTACTTGGACCAGCGGTAATACGGTCCAGCGGTAATATTACTTGGTCCAGCGGTAATACTAGTTGATCCAGCGGTATTAGCATTTGGTCCAGCGGTAATATTACTTGGTCCAGCGGTAATATTACTTTGACCAGCGGCAATATTACTTGACCAGCGGTTATATTACTTGTTCCAGCGGTAATATTACCATTTTGGTCCAGCGGTATATTACTTGTCCAGCGGTAATATTACTGGTCCAGCGGTAATACTACTTGATCCAGCGGTAATAGTAAGCGGTAATATTACGTCCAGCGGTATTATTGTTTGACCAGCGGTAATATTACTTGACCAGCGGTTATATTACTTGTTCCAGCGGTAATATAGTGGACTTTTTGGTCCAGCGGTAATACTACTTGGTCCAGCGGTAATACTACTTGGTCCAGCGGTAATACTACTTGGTCCAGCGGTAATATTACTTGGTCCAGCGGTAATACTACTTGGTCCAGCGGTAATACTACTTGGTCCAGCGGTAATACTACTTGGTCCAGCGGTAATACTAGTTGGGTTACAAGGAATACTTTCCATCTGGGCCAGCGGTACTCTCGCTAACGGGTCCCCCAAATATTTCCTTCCTGACGGTATTATTTCTCCTGATGGGAGTGTAAGGGGCGGTGGTCTTGAGGCTGCGTGCGAGGGCTCTGTCTATCTGTCTCTACCCGCGACGGAGGGAGACGTCTCTTCCTCTCTATTTAACGGAGGAAAGTCTCTCTCTCTCTGTCTCTCTCCCTGACGAAGGACAGTTCCTCCTCTCTCTACCTGACGAGGGAGAGAGATGTAGGGGACAATGGGTGTATCTTTCTCACGCCCTTAGTATACAGTGCCTCTCTCTCTCTCTCTCTCTCTCTCTCTCTCTCTACTGAAGGGAGGTCACTCAACCTGACGGAGGCAAGACACTGACAGCTGGGGTCGTTATACACTCCTGTTATATTTATGAGTCTGTCTCCATATATTTACGTCACACTATCTCTAATGTATATCTCTCTCTCTCTCACTCAGTACATAGAGAGAGCAAAAATGTGTTCTATCAAATATATGCGTATTTTATTTTTCAAAGTTGCTCATTTGACTATAGACACATTCATTGCTGTACAGACCTTCCTCTATGTATGAATATTTATCGGCTGTGTATGTCATCAATATATAGATATGGTTATGGTGTTTAGTAGGTGAGGTCGTGAAGCAATAATAATAATAATAATAATAATAATAATATAATTACAATAATATTAATAATAATATTAATAATAAAAGTAATAATAGTAATAATAATAACAATAATAACAATAATATTAATAATAATATTAATAATAAAAGTAATAATAGTAATAATAATAATAATAATAACAATAATAATAATAAAAATAATAATAATAATAAAAGTAATAATAATAATAATAATAATAAAAGTAATAATAATAATGATAATAATAATAATAATAAAAGTAATAATAATAATAATAATAAAAATAATAATATTAATAATAATAATAATAATAATAATAATAATAATAATAATAATAAAAGTAATAATAATAATAATAATAATAATAAAAAT